CCCCCTTGGAATTGATTTTTCAATACAGACCCCCCCCCCTCCCCCTCTAAAATCAATTCTCTCCTGGAGAACGTCTTCGTGAGCCTCTCATGATTTCAGGATAGTTGAAACCCTCTTGAACATTTAGAAAGAGTGAATATGAAATTCTAATCACGAAAGGTGTTCCCCGAGGGGATACATACTTAGAGTTTGTTTTGTGAAGCACGTCAATTCTCTCCTGGGGAGCGTCTTCGTGAGCCTCTTATGGTTTCAGGATAGTTCAAATCCTATGATGTTCCGATTCAATGCTCACCGATGATCTGAGCCATGGGGCAAGTTTGTTTTCCTAAGAACCTTATTGAACATTTCGAGAGCATATGAACATATATTTACGAAAGGTCGCCTCCGAGGGGATAAATCACCATGTCGAACATTGCATTTTTGTTCCTGCCTCTCGCGTTCTCTTCTCTTCCCGCTGTCCTACCTTTCGTGTCTCCCTCCTCTCAAGTATTTTGGACCGGGTTGAAACCAACCAGATTGGAGTTCGTGTCATGGAGTTCGCACAGAGTGTCCAGTGACCAGTGATTTCCATCCATTTGGGTAGTGCGGTATGCTGCAATCCTGCAAGTTTACTGCCTGTTCTTTTTTTGTAACTACTACGTAGGTCTTTTGGGAAGGACTCGCTGCAGCCAGTATTTTCAGCACCTATCATTGGCTTATCCAGCAGAAACTCCGCCCTGCAACCCGGCCAAGAAACATTCACCAGACACCGTGTAGAGGACAAAACCGGTGTGTTTTATCACTGAGCAGCTTACTGGAAGTGATTCTTGCTTGCTTCTTTGGTGCACTCTCCCTCTCCGAAGTCTTGAATCAATCATGTGACAAGTGGAAAGACATCTCTAGAGCAACTCGATCATTCTGGGTGTGTGCCAGTGTGCCATTCCCTGTCACACTCGGTAAACAAGGTATGTATCACTATAGAAAGGGCGGCTTCGCCCTGGTGCCGCCGACCCCCACAGACCACCTCACTGAAGCCCAAGATGGGGCATCCCATCCCAGTGAATATCCTTAGTAAAATACACACCCACATGTTGTTTGTTCTCCCTTTTTCTGGGGAGCTCGATAAGTCGATGAATGTGTGAGAACTCTTTTGCCGAGATGGCAAATCTCGATTTGATCATGAATTTAGGTACACCATGTTGCAACGACCATGGAGTTGCCCTAAACAGCCTCAGACTTGACCTTTGGCCATCGTTGAGCACCACGAACATCAGACACTCGAAAAAGCCTTGCCACTGCAGTTCCTGGAGCGTCTAAAGCGCCCAAATTGTCCTCCGAGCGGCTCAGTGACCCGTGGCTTTCGGACGTAACAAATAGTCTTTAACAGCAATCTTTCGTTTGGTGGCCGCTGTTACTTGGTCTCTACCTCCGCTGCAGACCAGCCCCCAAGGCTCCGGCAATCCGCTTCGCCACGCTTTTCCCCCATCTAATTCCACAACAAAGCTGACCAAAAAATTGGCCTGACAGGGTGCCTAACAGCAGCTTGGAAAACTAATATTAAAAAACTTGTGAAGGCATGCAGCAGAGGGCTTGGAGTGTTTGGAGTCCGCTGGAGGCTGCTAGCTGCGAACCCTATATATAGAAAAACAGGCGCAGAACCGCGTAGCAGCAGCCAAGGTGATGGCCACAGACCGGTCCTGCTGCCCTGAGACAGGCTCCCGGCAATCCGCTTCGCCACGCTTTTCCCCCATCTAATTCCACACCAAAGCTGACCAAAAAATTGGCCTCTCAGGGTGCCTAACAGCGGCTCCGAAACCTAATAATAAAAAACTTGTGAAGGCACGCAGCAGAGGGCTTGGAGTCCAGAGCGCCCAAAGAGGGCTGGTCCCGCCACAGCCTTCCTCCAGCTAATTCGGTGCCAGACGGCAGGTTTTTTTGCACGCAAACGGTGTCCCAGGTGCCGCCCCGCCTAGGCATCAGCTAGGCCGGGGTCGGCGGATATTTTAGAGAAAGACCATCATCAGCATCCACTGGGCCCAGGGAGTTGGACATAGTAACAATGGATACATTAACAAAACAACAACATGTTGTATTAAATATATAGTATTGATTTTAGATGTTGCTGCTCATTATTTCAATATGCTTCGCTCCTCCTCCTTTTCCGCTCCCCAACAGCAAGCTGCTGGATTGCGGTGGGCAGTCCCGGACTTCAACAACACACAGACAACCACAACACACAACCAACAACACACAATCACAAACACACAACTACAAACACACAACTATAAACACGCGAACCACAAACACACAACCACACACACAATCACAAACACACAGCCACAAAAACAATCACAAGCACAACCATAGAGATACAACCACAAACACACAATCACAAGCACACAGCCAGAAAACACAAACACAAGCACACAACCACAGACGCAAACACAAACACACAACCGCAACAATATAATTACCTCTGTGTGCGTGTGGGGGGCATTTTGCGTGGCAGGTGGTCACAGGGTAGCACTTCTGGATGCCAACAGGAGACCTGGGCGACACCCCGACGCGAACTCCCTAACACAAGTAACAATCCCCAACCCGAGGACCCACAAGCAAAATCGAAAACCACAAAACCCACGACCATGGCAATATGCTCTTTACCATGGCGTGAAAACAAACGATTGGAAGGTCTTTGTGGGGTCACTCGAAGTAAACTATGCACGTATATATCATCACGAAAGCCAGCCGATAGGCTAGGCTGGAGTTGGGTGGGGCGAACGAAGTGAGTATAAGGGGTGTGGGGGGGTTGGTCGCACAGTGGCCAGTTTTTCGGAGGGGTGAGCCGTGAGCCCAGAAGAAAAGTATTTGCAGCTTGGGAGTGGTTTTTGATGTTATTGACGGCCGTTAGCGCATCAGTAGCATCATGAGGGGCTCAGGAGGCAATCTAAACCGCCTTCTACCAGGGGTGGGAGTTCATGTCAAAGAGGAGACAACGCGACACGAAAAGTGGCTGGAACTCTACCATGCGCGTCTCTGGTGGCCATTGAAATAGCGTTCGACCAGGGGTGAAAGGGAGGTGTGTTCTATTAAGACGCTGGGTGATTTGTGAGGGCAGGAGAGGGAGCAGAATGTTGTGGGGATAGCGGAGGAGGACGTGAAGGGAAAAGAAAGAGGGTTTGCAAGAAATCTTGGAGTTGCTTGGGGGTGTCCTTTTCAATGGTGAAGATGCTGTCAACCATACGCAAAAGGGCGCCCAATATGGGGTGGGAGTTCATGTGGAAGACATCCGTGGCGGAGGAGGACGTGGTTGGCAAAGACTGATTGCAAGAAATCCTTGAATTTCTTGGGGTTGCTCTTTTTTATGATGAAGACGCGCCCTAACCATATGCAAAAGGGCACCCAATATATATTGGATGCGAGTTCACGTAATGATGCGGTCCATTGAGGGCAGGAGAGAGAACAGAATGCAGCGGGCAAGCTTTGAATTGCTTTGGGGTGCCCTTTGTTTAACGGTGAAGAGGCCTAGTGGCCACACTCAAAAGGGCACCCCATATGGGGTAGGAGTTCATGTGGATGAGAACAGGGAGGGAACAGAATGCAGCGGGCAAGCTTTGAGTTGACGTGCGGGATAGGCATAGCGGGGGAGGATGTGATAGGAAAAGAGGTGGGGAGCTAATCCAGGATCTCCCCCCATGACCATATTGATATCTTTTACGGTGGCTGGCTTTCGTCCCCTCCTTCTCAGGTATTTGTATATACCTGAACCTTCAATCGTAGCACTTTCTGGCAAGCCAAGGAAAAATGATCACTTTATGGAGTTTCGTAGCGTTTTTTTGATGAAGCGAGCACTTCTTAATGTTTTTGATGAAGCGAGCATGTTTCCAAGATGTTGAACACTGAAGTCTTCTTGGGCCAAAGGTGGAAACCCGCAAAATGCCGCAAAGCGTGCGCAAAATACAACAAAACGAACGCAATTTGAAACGTGGCGAACCACCTCAACATGGGTTGGATATGAGAGGAATCCATGTGCGTTTTTTGTGTTTGTGGAGTTTGTGCCTGAACGAACACTTTTGCAAAACGAACGTTTTTTGTAGCGAAGGAAACTTCAGGTGTTCTGGGGATATCCTCAACTATATTCCTCTGCCACGAGCAGAAGCCTTCGGCCAATCCGGTCGTGGGACTCAGTCAGTTTAGGCAACGCTTGGCGCGCAGAACACGGGTGCCATGATTTCATGGATTCGCCATGCGGGCGCTGTTGCTCTTGTTGTTTGAACGCGAAAAAACACACAATCAAATGAGACACCTATATATAAATTTGTGTTTTTTTTTTTGGGTTTGTTTGTTTTTGTTCAAGTGGGGCAATTAACATGGAAAGGTTTCTGGCGCCCATGTCATTCCTCCATTGGTCTTTCAGGACGCGGACAAAGCGCTAGACTGGATCGAGGAACACTTCATCGTTCACAGCGTGCCTGGGCAAACGTAGATCTTCAGTGGATGTGTTTGAACCGGTGGGTGAAGACAAAAGCAATGGTCATCAAATTGGCAGAAAACAACATACGTACCATCATAGGGATTGAGGTCCTGTCTCATCATCAATGTTTTGTTTCATGTTTCCCAACCTGGTTTGTTGTAGAGTTTGTGCAACCAAATCTGGTGGTTAGCATCCCATTGGTATCCTTTCAACCGGTCACAATATGGCAGGTTCGTTTACATCATTATTGGCAACTTGCCGTCCTGTGCCAGTCTTGGGTAAACGACGTGGTAAGGGTTAGAGCGAAGATCATCTCATTTGCGTGCATTATGGTTGTGGTTCAAGACCGGGGGACCCTGATTGACCACAAAAAGTAGAATACCTACCCTGGTGAAAGGGGCTCCGGTTGTTGACCCACCGAGTCTTCCAACAGTAAACATGTGCTGCGCAGTTGGTATACCGTCATGGTTTTTGCCATGTACGCTTGCCAACCCCCAAAAAAGGAACAAAAACTTTTTCTCTCACTCTCACCCATACTCACTCTCACTCTGTGCGGACCGGACTGTGACAGATCGAGACGGGACCCGGTTCGCCCCCACGCGGGACTCGGCACGGGTCGAAGGATTCACATAGGTCGCATTTGCTGGTTGAGGAATAACAGAGGTTCCAGGGAAAAGGAACAGACAAATGGTTCCATTTCTGGTAGGAAAATGAACCAAACCCGTGTTTTTCCATGGTTGCAGATGAAGTAATTATACGAATTATACATGTTCATGGCACGGTTCGCTGGTTCGTTCCCAACGTGCCTACTGCCTACTCTTCAAGGACGATTTCATGGCTGAACAAACTGTTATTGGGCATCAGAGGGGGTTCATCCCCCTGAGAAAAATCCGGTTGTATCGTGCTTGTGCCAGACTGGCTAAGGAGCATGAAGAGGCATTGACCCTTGAGCCTTGGTTTTGCTTAGGTTTGCGTGTTCAGTTGCAATCATGTTATATCATGTTGAAGTATGTCGACACTACTATTGCACAGCTGTACGCATGTAGGGTGTGGGCATGGTGTGGGCACAGCACAGATGCTGAGGATTCGATCCTGCAGATTGGTGAGGACGAGGTGAAGCAGGCCAACGAGGAACAAAAGCCCATCCAGATGATGATCATCGACCCCTACAACTGGATCGAACGTTCCCAGGAGTGCCACTGATGTTTTTGGGGGATTCCAGTGAGTTTGGGCCGTGCTGATGTTTTGCCAGCCCCGTCGGTTGCGGAAGAGGATGTGGTTGGTGGCATTGATGATGTTGAGGCGCATCGATTCTTATGTAATCTCTATTCTTCAGTTTTAGATCCACCAATGTGTCAAGAGGTGGGAAAATCATCCACTGGTGCTCCCAATTGACTGGTGGGGCTTGTTCCCGCTTGGAAACCAACCACTGGAATCCATACCTTCAGACAGAGTTCCACTGTTCTCCACTCCACCTGCCGCAGAGAAAAACAGCTCAGGAGGACCAGCAGGAGCCGGAATTTGAGTACATCGGCAGCTTGGCTTTGGGTGTAAACATGTTGGCCACTTGTTTCCGTGAAAGGTTTTCAGGCCTTTCTTCAAGCAAGCCGTTACTAGTAGCTAGAGCATCAAAAGTTACAGTTTTACATCCCTGCAGGTCCCTGCACCTTCAGTATGCCAACCCTTGCACAAATCTGGACAACATCACCATCCCCATGCTATCCCAATTGAAATTGGCACCTGGCAATTTGAGATGAGTTGTTCCCCAAAAAGAGATCTATGGCACCCTTCTGTTATTCTGTTTGGTTTTGAAGTTGATGTTCCCACTTTTTGATCACCTCCAATATTTTTCCTGAGGGGGTATTATGGCCTTTTGGCTCCAGCCATGCCAGCACAAGCTTGTTGGATGCAGATGCATTTGGCTATGTTTGACTCGGGGCATGAACAATTACAAGACTTGCGTGTGCTTGCATCCCAACTCATGATACATTAACTGAAGTACATGGACTGGACCGGAGATTCCAGGGGCAAATCACCAAAGGCAAGATTGGTGCTTTCAAACCAATCCCTTGCCCTTCGGAGAAACATGAAGATCCGAGGTTGTTGTTTACAACGTAATGCCCCAAAAACAACAAAGAACACGTTGAACAAAGCATCCGCACTCTTCGGGATTCACCCCGTTCGGATTCGCATCGTTCGATCGATCCCTTGCGCAGGCCGCTTGATGAGTGAGCTGCGTTGCTTTGCGAAGGAGAATGGCCTCCATGTCATCATCGTGGCACACCCCACTAAGGTCAGCGAGGGAGATGAGAGCCGGACACGGAGATGAGAACGCATCTTCCGGCGGGTTTGGCATACCCGGTCGAAGACCCCACTATAGAGTCGATAATTCGTGAGGTGTGGTGTTACAACAGGAGGGGACCATGTTTCGCTTCTTTTCGCATAATTACAGGGTACAGTATGTGAGGCTGAGGATGTCACAACGGCGACTGCAAGCGCCCAACCATTAGTCAGTTCCTGCACGCTGTTGTAGTTGTAGGGCTGGTGACATCCCCAAAGCCCTTTCCTACATGGGGATGGGTCGGGTAGGTGAACCACGGCATCGGTTTGACCCACAGCCACATGGTGCACTCCGGTCAGTGCATTCGTAGAAAAACCCAGCACCGGCACACTGGAATGTCCTTCCAGCTTGGCTCATGGGAAGCCATCTCGATTTGGGAACGGCAACCCTTTCGATGTTTCCTGTTATCAGTACAGCGGCACTGTCACCGTGCTGTTCGTGGCGGATTCCACGTGGCGTGGCGTGGTGTTCCTGCACTCCCCCAGCAGAGAGTTCGGTGATTGAAAGGGGAAAAGTACGTCTTTTTTCCACACGATTTTCTAGTAGTAAGGCCAGGAGCCCCGTTCGTAGCCTCCTTGCTCCGTTCGTAGCGTCCTTGTTCCTAGTAGCAAGGGCAGGAGCCCTTTGGGATCCTTTTGGTAAACGCAACTGTGGTTTAGGAAGATGGTTCTCCCACAGTCTACTGAACACCCGGACAGGTTTGAGCGACTGTTCCACTGGTCCTTTGAGCCGACAGGCTGGACAGTGGAACGGCCGGAAGCCCTCGATGTACGACATCGCGGGCAGTGCGAACTGGTTCAACAAGACAGCACCTCGGCATACGGGGGAACCGCGCCATGGCAGGAACGTGGACTGTGCTGCCGTGGACTGTGACGGGGAGATGTGGGACCTGGGAGGTGTTTTTGATCTGGCAGCAATGAAAGTGAGTCAACAAACCATCAACAAACTCCAAAAGAAGCCGAGCAGAATGGTCGAAGACAGGAGCCGAGCCCACAGGCGCGAGACACTTAAAGAAGTCCAGTATATGATTGATTCATTTATACTTTATAAGGTATCTAGTATACCACTTATATATCTATAGTATAGTATGTAGTCCAACATTTAGGAATTGACTTAGCTAAACCACTCAAGGCCGGCGACGACCGATTCGGTCCAAAGCCGCGGCCCGGTTTGGGCGAGGACAACGGCTTGATGGTCTATCGCCAGTTCGTGGTGTCTTGGACGAAGGTCCGAAGTGGTCGATCGGCGTCTCGTTCCCCGGTTTGGAGCGAGTCGGTGTCGACACCTTCGTGAAACGGTTCGGTGGGACTGGGGGGTGGGTGCCATTGTGGGGTCGTACCGAACCTGAGGAGGTACGACTGGAGCCCTATAGCAAGACCCTCCTGTCGGGGTGTCCTGGCTGAACTACCCACACTACATAGGCTTCCAGACAGGGCACCCCCGCGGTGTCGGGTCCTGGTAGGGTTCTTGAAGCGGAATGCTTCACTGGCTGTGTTGCGCTCGCTCTGTGTCGGTCCTGTGACTCCATCGACGGCTTGTCGAAGTCACGGGTGGAACCGCCGACGTGGACGTTGAGGGTCAGATGGGGCAGAGGAAGAGGCGATCCATAGTGCGAGCATGTTCAATACACATCGTTTACATGTTTTTTTGGGGGAGATCGATCCATATAGATCGAGTCATGACCTGCCCAAATCACGCTGAGTTGCTTGCTTTCCAGATTTGCTAAACCGACGTGCTGGTGTTTCTTTCTCCGCGCTTGAAAGGGCTTCCGGCTTCGTCCTGCGGTGCCGACCGGACCGCAGTTCGGGGTGCTGGAACACATCACGTTGCCGGGTGGAATGCTAGACCAAACAGTAATGCTGCATATTAAGAACCAATTCTTGGACCACTGAAACCAAGTGGACCAACCATTGACCAACCTGATGTTTTTTTGGATACTGTATACGACATGACATACTTGGGACATGTTGTTTCTTCTACAGCATGGAACAGGCCTCGGCAGCCTTTTCTGGCTCAGGAGGACGATGATGGTGAAATGGTGCCGACCCAGCGGACAGAGATCCATGTGCAGAAGGCTGGCTTGTTCGCGCACGACGGACCGTGGCCACGTTCGGCCTACGTCGATCGCGGGGACGAGGCCGCGAAGAGTAGGATCACCGCGAGAACCACAAAACCCTAAAGCCCAGCACCCCAACAAAAACCTGCACGACACCGCACAGCCGGGAGACCGCTGGGAGACCGCGGCATGCTCGCCTCGGCACGCTCGCCTCGAGAGGCATGCTCGCCTCGGCAAGTACGGCGAGAAAAGTCTCCGCCGTAACAAGAAGCTACTAGGGACTAGGGGCTCCTGGCATCGCTACTAGGAGCAAGGACGCTTACTGTAGGGGCTCCTGGCAATGCCCTTTGCCCCGAGTAGCGTCCCCGGCGTCGTGCGAGATCCTTCGGGCGATTTGATGTTTTGGCCCGCCAGGTGCGCAATCGAGACGCCGGGCGATTGGGGCAAGTTGTGCTTTACTTTGATCGAGAGATGCCCGCCTTTTATAGGGAGGAGGGCGTCCGCAGACACCTTGAAAGGGTGAGAAGGACATGTAATTTCTAGCATATACTACCATGAATATTCATGACTAGTATACAGTATATATATATACGTATATACTAGTATCATGGATATAGTATGATATAGTATATCTGAGTTGAATGGTGTTTCATGTTACACTTGTTTTGCATGGCCAATTTCCTCCCGTTGTTTCATTGAGCTCGCAGGAGGTGCGCATATTGATTTTCCATTTTGCAGCCACTTGCAGCCACTTGCAAGTGGCTGCCAAGTGGCTGCAAGTGACTGCTACTTCTGTCCGGAGAATATCATGATTTCTGCGCACGCAGTCCTCAAGAAAAACAAGATTTCTGCAATGCTGTTCAGCAAGGAAATTCCGGTTTTATCCAGAGCTGCGCGCGGAGAAATCATGAAATATTCCAAGACTTTTCCGACAATAAATTCCTAACTTTTGCAGAGCTAGGGACGAAGAAATCTTACAGTTTTTACATAAAGAAATCTCAAAGTGCAAGTGTTGAAGTTTACTTGCTTGAGTGACAAGTGGCTGCCAAGTGGCTGCCTGAGCAAGTGGCTGCAAGTGACTGCAAAACCACAAATCAACACGTACATCATTTGCCCGCTCTCTGCTTCTTTTTTTCCCTCCAGCCTACATGACACCAAAAAGGCACCCTCCATCTCGGAATTGAAGTGGAGCATGGACAAAAATCATCCATGCACACCTCCTTTGAGGTTGCCGTGCGTTCACGTTCAATTACCTTTCTGTTGGCTAACACTCGAGTCACGTCGGTGCCTTCCGTCGACCTTCTCGTTCGAGTCAGCGGTGTTCGCCGTGCTCGTCGTGGTTCGCACCTCTTCGTGCTGCCAAGTCGGGGGCATGGAAAGACCCACCCCCAGACGCGACCCATGGGACTGCCATAGGACTGCCGATCAGGCCAGGTGTGGTGCCAGGGGTCAATTGATCGGCATATATGGCAGTCCCATGGAGCGTTTGGGACCCAGTGAGCTTCCCTCATGTTTTGAAGGGCGATGGTTTTTGGTCCCTTCTCCTCTCCCAGACACAGCCTTCTCCGTTCTCGGAGCCGAGGACCACGGGTGACGGTGCCGTTGTGCGGTTGGTTCCCTCTCCCGGGTACGGTCTGTGCTTCAAGTGGTCGTCGAGCCGAATCCGAAGGTCCTAGTAACCTAGTAGCTTCTTGTTTCAATTCTATAATTCCAATTCAATTCTATTAATGTTTTGTTTCTTATAATGGCTTCTTGTTCCTAGTAGTATGGCCAGGAGCCACTCTGCACGGCTCCGCACGGGCTTACCACTCCGAGGCGTCGAAGTTACGAAGAGGTGGTGACCGAGCAGCAGCGACTCGGATGGAAGAGCGGAGAGGTGGAGAGCGGAGCCAGCGGTTGAGCGAAGCGGTTGGAGTGGGTGTGCGTAAGGTGTTTTTTTCTTAAGATTGGATGGGGTGCTGGTGCGGAAGAGTATGATTGGAATATATGTGGGAGATGACAATGACCTTTATGCTATACTGCTGTACGAAGGTATTTTGAGAGTCCCGATGTGCACTCTTGCTTCATGGAACACGTGCAAGAAAAGGTCATAATCAGGGCACAGTTGGGGATTGTAAAGCACTTGTCTCACGCAAGTTGGAGTTGTCACTTGGAACATGCGGGGAGAAAACTGAGGTCATGGAAAGATTCGACTTCCTTGGTGTACTGCTAGAATCAGCCCTTTAAATGTTAGTTGTATGATTTTGAGATTGTAACGTGGGGTTTTACCGCTATAAAACCTACTAAACCACAACCAAAAGCTGAAACAGCGGCTCACCAAAAGGACGGAGCAAAATGGATCAATTCATTGGCTTTCCGTTGCTCTAGCTGCGCAACTCACTCCTTGAAGCCCCCCACAAAGGGGACATCCGAAGGGACAGCAGATCGCTTTTTGACGTGCACACGTCAGGATCATACCACCACCATCCAGTTTGGAAGGTCAGCTCCGGCGATTTATGATGCAAAAGACATCGCTATTAGTAGCTCCTGGCATTACTACTAGTAACAAGAAGCTACGAACCTAGCAAGGTGCATCGCTATGTTCGTAGCTTCTTGTTACTAGTAGTAATGCAATTGTTAGTACCGATCAGAGACCACATCGTTTCACCGAACTGGTTCCTCATCACACCTAATGAATTACTCTTGGGTTGTGGATTGGTTTGGTGAATCAACTGTTTGCCACGCACAGCACTCAGCTTCCGTTTCCCCCCAAGGTTTAAAAGTTTGTGTCGGAAACAGAAGCACATGCCTTAAGCGCATTGGATCCGTGTATGTGGACATGCATGTGTACCAGACTTGTCACTTACATGGCAATGGGTGAATCATAAACGGGGTCAATGTCAATGCCTAGAAAAGGTCTGAACCTGTTGCTTGAGCCCCTTTTGTGGGAGTCGACTCTCAATAGCTGGACAGAACGCCAGCAGTCACTGACTCAAGAGGTCATCACCTGGCATTTCTTGACACATTGGATCCACTTCAACTTTGTACAGTGGTCAACTAACAGATAGTGGCACGGTTTCCGATACATGTTGAATGTGTGTTATGTCTACCCCCTAGGAGTCAAAGACTATTAAGAATGGTCTGACTAGGTGACCCGAGTTCAGGAATTTCCTTTACTTCAGTCGGTCAAAAGATCGTTAAAGTGGACGTTTAGGGTATCTATTTGGAGCAAGGACGCTACTAGGGGCTCCTGGCGCAAGAAGCTTCTTCAGGGCTCCTGGCATCGCTACTAGGAGCAAGGACGCTACTAGGCGCTCC